GAATCACTCTGGTTGGAAAGGACCCCATAGATCATCTATTCCAACCTTCATCCTAGCATCTCCATAACCACTTGAGACCATAGCCTCAAGTCTTAGATCCCGTTTTTTGAACACCTCCAGGGATGATGACTCCACCACCTCCCTGGGCAGCCCGTTCCAGTGTCTAACCACTCTCTCAGTAAAGAAATTCTTCCTAAGAGCCAATCGAAGCCGCCCCTGATGCAATTTGAGGCCATTTCCTCTTGTCCTATCGTTAGTAATTGGGAGAAGAGACCAACACCAGCCTCACTACAGTCTCCTTTAGGTAGTTGTACAGGGCAATAAGGTCTCCTCCAGACTAAACCACCCCAGTTCCCTCATCAGGCCTGTTCTCCAGAGGAAGTCTTTCGGGGGCGTTGTGTGTGCAGCGGGGCCTGGGGCTGGGCAGGGCCAGGTGACAAATACCGGCTGGGGCCGGTCTGGCCTCGCTGCTTCCAGGGCTCTCAGGGGAGGCTCTGATAAAAGGCCACTAAAAGGCCAAATTTGCTCTCCATAAGGCAGACGGGCCTCTGTATTTTAATGATTAGTTAAGAGATCATCCTTGGAACACACGATAATTCGGTTTAGGTTGTTGGTGGAGTCCTGCAGAGCTGGCTGCCAGACCCTGTCTCTTGCTGCTTTCGGAAGAATTCGGTGGAAGCAGGAGAGGCTCAGGTGGCAAATTCTTCTGGTGATACCCACATGGTGTGAAAATTGACGGTTGCTTCTCATGGTTGAATTTCATTTGCCTTTTGATTTCATCTTGGTAAATATTAAATAATGCATCTAGAAGCAAAATCAATACCATATGTAATCACTGGTGGACTTTGAACTGTTGCCACTCAATAAAGATGTTTAAATTAAAACAAGACAGGATTTAGTAGATATAAAAATATCAGTGGGATAGTACAAATAATAAGGAAAGAAGTAAAGATCAACACAAAAAATTGCTCTCAAACTACCGTATAATGCCCATGACACCCAGGTCATCAGTACTGTGTGGTTTGAGCTTCCTCTATCATAAAAAGATACAGTGGGATTAGAAAAGAGAAAACAGAGCCAGGGATGTTTCAGATGAAGACTGTCATCTGGTTGGGAAAAGAGATCGCTTGTTGGGGAAGGGAGAGGGAATGTTGAAGGTGTGTTAAATGACAGGTGATACCGAAGTAAATAGGGTGACAGCAATAGTTGCATTTTTCTGAATTAATTGAGGAGTTGAGTGCAGGACCTGCAGGACTGTGCAGAAGCTGACACCTCTCACAGGCAGTGCTACCTGAGGTGGAAATTCTGAGGCTTAAGTACAAATTTTAGATGGGCATTTTGGAGGAGGAACATCTCTGGTGGAAAATGATGACCGTGTTTCACTGGTATTTTCTTAAACATTAAGAAACAAAAAGTTTAAAAGGTGAAGTTTTGGTGTCTTTAATTCATTCTTGGTACAGTTGTAGCTCAGTAAGCTACTCTGACTGAGGCAAGGTTTCAGTAGCTTGCTTGCTGTGAGCTCTGGGTGGCACACATTCTTTTTGACTGAAGAGAGTAGCTGGAGACCATTTTGTTTTTCTTGAACCACTGATAGTTTTTTTGTTCCAGTTTGGTTTAGTGAAAAAGTAGAAACTCAGAAGAATCCTCTTGCTATATGTGTTTTTTTGTCCTTTAGAAGGAGAAGTGATATTGCTAGCTTTGTTTTAAAAACTGGAAGCTAACTCTTTTTTCCTGTCTTGTTGCAGCTCTGGATGAAGGAGATATTGCCTTGCTGAAAACATATGTAAGTAGCTTACGTATACAAGAGTGTTAAAGAAAAAAAGCAAGAATCCTGTTAGGAGCTGAGTGGAAGAGGGGAGGGATGTGTATGGGTGAGCAGCTGGTAAATCTGCTTCTCCTAAAGCCTTTCTCTCCTGCCAAAATCTGTTCTCACTTAACATCTTCCAATAAGAAAGCCCCAAACCCACCAGGGCTACTACTAGTGCTTTTTCACTAGCCAATTTACTTCATTCATTTTAATTTACTTCAACCCTGACAGATTCTGATCTGTTTTAGCAGAGGACGTAGTAGTGTTGGCTTAATGGTTGGACTGGATGATCTTAAAGGTCTCTTCCAACCTGAAGGATTCTATGATTCTATTTTAAACAACAATATCTTTAAGACCCTTTCTCCCATCAAATTTACGTGCTTTTAGCCATCACATTAAAAAACTGTTAGTGAGGGATGCACAGACCTTGTCAAAGATGCTGTCATCTTGGGAAGCATTTTCCATGGCCTTAAAGCTTAGAATGCAAGTCTCCCCTCTCTACAAGCAAGTCCAGTGGGCCTCTTGAAAGAACTCTGGGAAAATGAAACTTGCAGCTTAGCATATGTTTGGATTTGAGTATGTTTGCCAGAAGTCTGGGTTTTGTTGACGCCAGGACTCCTTTACGGAGCTCTGGGATGCGGCCTGTGCCCGCTGTGGCTGCTGCTTTGTGGCTAAGTTGATACGAAGAAGATCCTGCAAAGGATCCTGGAAATCCAGATCTGCCCGTGGTAGGCAGGGCAAGGTGGTAAAGCATTTTACCGCAAGCAAGAATCTAGCTTCGCATTTGCCCCCTGATCTTTCTGTTGTGGATGATAGAAAGGTTGAGTAACAGGTGATATTTGGGTAATGTACACCAAATTCTGTGTATACACAATTTTTACTAAGTGTTTTAAATTTTAGGGGAAAAAATAATGTAAAAAAAAAGGCTGAATGAGTTTAAAAGAAAACTAAATCCTTAAAGTTTATAAATGTACAAAATTTCCACTTGCACAATTGGTCAAATGTGTGTAGCTGTGTTCTGCTTTTGTGAACAGAAATATTGTTGCTGGAACTTAATACTGTCTTTTTTGGCTGTGATCAATAGCTGGCTGTTATATCAAGACAGGCATGGAACATCTTGACACTCATGAGCTATTGGCATTTTTTCCTAAATGTAAAGCAAATTTGAGTTATAAAATGTATGTGGTGTTTCTTTTCCAGGGCCAGAGCACGTACTCCAGGCAGATCAAGCAAGTAGAAGATGATATTCAGCAGCTACTTAAGAAGATCAATGAGCTCACTGGTACCTTTTTTCCTTAAGATAACTTTCAACAGAAGAGCCATGTATACAAAAATGAGTGTTTTAAGAAGCTGATTTTAAACAACTTCTGCATTGATTTGTTATTGTTATTTTTCTCAAAATAATACATTGCCTTATTGGGTAATGTGAAATTTTACTTTGTAGGTGATAATCTTTTGGCTTGGGCTGGGCTAGTCTTTACATACGATTATGTAATTTTGTAATTTAACACATTTTTATCCAAATCAGTCATTTTTATGTAGTATGGTGGCATGAAAATAATGCCCCTTCCTGCCACTAAATAATGGTTGTGATTTGTGTGAAGCTGCACTTGAGCAGTGAGTGAACTTCCACAGACTGCAAAGCCCCAACATCTTATCACCACACTGTGGTGCCAGTCCTCATAGAACGAGGAAATGTGTGTCGGAGCAGTTGGCATTTAAAATCAGCGGGTCAGTTATGGCAGTTAGAATAAAAATTTAATTTGTTCCCTAATTTTTTCGTGTTTGTTTTAGTCGTGTAAGTTTGTTGCCCTGTGGCTGATCCTCAAGTGGCCCTCAGTTCTGTCTGGAGACCACAATTTCTCTTTTCCAGTAAAGCCCTTGATTCTTTCAAATACATCATGAAGATGTTACCTTTTATATCCATGTTTTGGGAGATTTCTAAGGTTTTTCGTCCATGTGAATCCCTTAGATTCTGATATCTTGCACTAAGCTTTCCCTCAGGGAAAGCACTTGCAGAGTTTCACTCCTTTTCTGAAACTTTTAGAAACATGGTTATGTCTAATATTTCAGTCAGATTTTCTTGTAATCATCCCCACACTGCAAAACAATGAGGATGGCTGGACTGGGATTTGCACGTTCAGCTGGCACAGTCACTTAGGCCTCATCTCTTTAGGAAACTTGTTTTGTAGGAAGACCATCAAAGATGCATGTGCGTGTGTTTTGGGAGATCTCTCAAAAAGCTTCCTGTGGGCTCGTGGTGTGGGAAGGGTTGCTGATGCACTGGTTGGCTGCTTCCTCCTCAGCTTATCTGTGTTCTGTGTAGGAATCAAGGAATCTGACACTGGTCTGGCTCCTCCTGCTCTCTGGGACCTGGCTGCAGATAAGCAAACTCTCCAAAGCGAGCAGCCGTTACAGGTTGCGAGGTGGGTTCGCTCTTCTTCGCCGCGGAGCTGCGTAGCCTTAAAAATGTGATTTACAGCTTATGGGCAGACTTAAAAACGTTCGTGTGTACATGTTGTGGGTATTGAAAGTGCTTGTCACTGTCGTGTCAAAAAGGAGCTGTGCTGTGTGTGGTGATGTCTTAGGAATGTGATACTTGTGCTTGCCTGTAATGAGTGGAGGATGCCAGACCGGTGGCCTGGCATCCTGCCTGCCGCGGTGACGCTGCGCTTGCCGTAGGTGCACAAAGATCATCAACGCGGACTCCGAGGATCCCAAGTACATCATCAACGTCAAGCAGTTTGCCAAATTCGTGGTGGACCTCAGTGACCAGGTGGCACCTACTGACATAGAAGAAGGCATGAGAGTGGGGTGAGCAAAAGCTTACTTTGTGTTCTTAATGAGCATGTCTGGAGACTGAAGTTTTCTCCTCTGACCCGTTAGACAGGTCAGCCACTATCATTTCGTGTTTTTGCAGTGGTTGAAATTGTAACAATAATGTCTTTCTGGTGGAAGACAGTAACTCACCTGCATGCTGTGCTGGAATCTTTTGTTTCTGATGTCATTCTGATGAGAACTGTGCGTCATGGACTGAAATCTCTCTGTTGGGGCTCCCAGTAGCCCCATCTCCCAGGGAGCTTGTGTAGCTTGAGCCTGCTTCCTCCTTGGCACTTTGCACAGTTCCACACAGGGCAGCTACAGGAAATGTTTGCTGAGGAGGTGAAGCCTGTTACTTCTAGTATCAATATCTTGCCAGTTTGCTATGTGGGATATTTTGAAGTTCAGTTTTCAAAATACTTGGGAATTAACATTTTTGGAAACCTTAAACCTCCCTGCAGAAGGAATTCCTGTTTCTAGCCCATCTGACTATTAGCTTTAAGGGCTGGGCTCTCTTGAAGCCAAAGAAAAGACCAGTTCAAGAATCCAGTTTCTGATTTACAGGGTTGTTCCCGTATGACAGTTTAATTAATCAGTGTTAAAATAATAGCCTTTGTGCTCTCTCACCAGGGTGGACAGAAACAAGTATCAAATCCATATCCCCTTGCCTCCCAAGATTGATCCCACAGTCACCATGATGCAAGTGAGAACAGCCTTTACTTATTATAACATTGCTTTGTCTTGCAATTTTGATTACTTTGGTTGGATTTTGTTCTGGGCTCTTGAAAGCCTAGAGAGATGCGCAGCATCAGGCTGTTAACTCCTCACTCACTTTTCTGTTGTGCAGGTAGAAGAAAAACCAGACGTCACTTACAGTGACGTTGGTGGTTGTAAAGAGCAGATTGAAAAGCTGAGAGAGGTGGTTGAAACTCCCCTGCTTCATGTAAGTAACCCCCTGATTGAAATTCATATTATTTTGGAAGTATTCTGGTCATCTTTAACATTCTGAAAAAGCAAGAAGAGATCATGTAGCTGAATGCAAACACCTAAGTGAAAGGAGGTCTACATTTTAACAGGTGAAAGCAGCTTCAGCTGGTTTATATTGCTCTTTGTGGATGATTTTCTTAATCTGCATATACCCCTTAATACACTTAACCTTTAATTTTGGTCACGACCGTGCCTTCTGTTTCCCGCCGTTGTAGCCCGAGAGGTTTGTCAACCTGGGGATCGAGCCCCCCAAGGGAGTGCTCTTGTTTGGGCCACCTGGCACGGGGAAGACCCTCTGTGCCCGTGCCGTGGCCAACAGGACGGACGCCTGCTTCATCCGGGTGATCGGCTCCGAGCTGGTGCAGAAGTACGTGGGGGAGGTGAGCGCGGGGCTCTGCCCCGGGGCGGGGCTGTCAGGCAGTCCCTGCCGATCAGCACCTTCTCTCCTTTCTCTGGGTCTGTAACAAAATCTGGATTTTTGCTTTCAGGGAGCTCGAATGGTCCGTGAACTCTTTGAAATGGCCAGAACTAAAAAAGCTTGCCTTATATTCTTTGATGAAATCGACGCCATTGGAGGTATGTTTGTAGTCTCCACAGCTCTGATCCCGCACAGGAACTCTCAGGTTTTCTTTTCATGCTGTGATTCTTTATCTGGGTTGCTGCACTTCAAGAAATGCGGTTGGAAATTTTTGTAAAGCAAAAGTGCTACCAGCATGTCCCACGTCCAGGAAGCTGTCAAGAAGTGGTGTATAGAGCCTGAACATGCCTAGCCCAGATGAGGAGTCAGTTTTGCACATTTGGAACACCCAGGTTATTTGAACTTTGGGTGAAGAATCTGTATGGTGTTTGCAAAACGTACTGTTAACTTAAACCCCCTTCAACTTCTGGACTACACACTGGATCTTTGCCACTGCCTGAATCTGTTATTTTTTTTCTCAAAGGAAGAACTTGGGTCCTTTGAAAGTAGGACAATTTTAACACAGATGGGGATGGGGTTTTGGTTGAGGAGGGACAGAAAACAAGCACACACTCCATTTATAAATTCCCACAGCTTGTCCAGTTAGCAGGCAGCCAGGTAGGCCTTCCATGCTAAGTGATGGTCCAGTGCTTATTATAGCTGACAGGCAACGCCACTCAGTCCTTGTTTGAAATGTGTCATTTTAAAATAACTCCCTCACAGCTTTTTTAAACGCCTCACAAATACTTTTATGTTATTTAAATATTATTTCTCTGAGTGTCTTCTGTGCAGCTGCTGTGACACCTCCTCTGAGCTGTGCAGCAGCTGTGACACCTCTGGGCTCTGAGGATCCTTCTCTTCCTGTGCAACACGTGTGTCTCCTCTCCCCAGGCGCTCGTTTTGACGACGGGGCTGGGGGTGACAATGAAGTGCAGCGTACTATGCTGGAGCTCATCAACCAGCTGGATGGCTTTGACCCACGAGGCAACATCAAAGTGCTGATGGCTACCAATAGACCCGATACTCTGGATCCAGCCCTGATGAGGCCCGGCAGGTTGGACAGGAAGATAGAGTTTAGCTTGCCAGATCTTGAGGTGAGAGTGCTTTCTTTCACAGCTAAGTATGTTCTGATACCAGAGTGTCTCTTCAGTTAGGGCATTGTTGTCTGGAAGCAGTTTGTGAGAATTAACACAAGCAGAACCCTTAACTTATGTCAAACTATGTGGAAATTTTGGGGATTAGAGATGTGCCAGAAAGGTTTTCCCACACTGCACAGATTCCACGCCTGGCCTAGGATCCTGGTAAACGGCTGCAGTCGCTTTATATTCCTGACTCAACAGGTAAAGAATCCTTTAACCAGGACTTTGATTCAGTTCTTACAATAGAATGTGCTTGGAATTACAATGGAATTTCTTGAGGTGCTTCTACTGTTAAATCTCTTTTAAAAGTTACTTCCTTATGAGGTGTCTTAAGGAACACCTAAACATGCTGGCCCAGACATAGGAGACTATAGTTGGGCAGCAAATAAATGATTTGTTTTCCATCTGCCCTTGCTCTGGGTGTGGACAGCTGCATGCCAGTCATCACCTCTTCCACAGCACGAACACCTCTGCCCTTCACTGTTTTTCAGGGGCGAACTCACATATTCAAGATCCATGCTCGTTCGATGAGTGTTGAAAGAGACATAAGATTTGAGCTGTTGGCTCGACTGTGTCCTAACAGCACAGGTGAGCTGATTTTTTACCTGCTTTTTAAACGATTTTGCATATGGCTCACTTCCACGGGTGGGCAGTGCTGAGTGGACGTGCCCGTTTCTTTGCCAGGCGCCGAGATCCGCAGCGTGTGCACGGAGGCCGGCATGTTCGCCATCCGGGCGCGGCGGAAGATCGCCACCGAGAAGGACTTCCTGGAGGCGGTCAACAAGGTCATTAAGTCGTACGCGAAATTCAGCGCTACCCCCCGCTACATGACCTACAACTAGCACCCGAGAATGGTTCGCCTGTTGTCAAACCTCCTGTGAAACAAAAATCCAAGTGTAGTAGTTCATGTCGCGTTCTTGGAAGCCAGAAATAAATGGAGTGTTCCAAAGAGCAGGTGTGATTTCATTATGAGCGAGTTCTACAGCAGTGGAAAAGTGTCTCGGTGAGATCTGTGTAACAAGCACAGCCTAAGGCAGCGAGGTCCTGTAAAATCGGGTACCTGGGCAACATTAAGAATCCAAACGTCACATTCGTCGTCACTGTTTTACGCCCCCAGACTTCCCATGTAAGCTGTAGAGTGCTGGAAGATGGATCCCCAAGTGACTGCAGAGTGTTTGGGGGTGCCCAGGAGCGCCTGTGATGCTCAGCACCCAGGGGTAGCCGTGTCCCAGGGAAACGGGAACCGCAGGGGAGCAGAGCTGAGAAGGCACCTGCAGCTCTGCTCGGGCACTGGCAGCTCTGCCCCACTGCCAGCTTAGGGAGGCGTGAGGGGTGTTTTGTCTTGCTCTGGATGAATGCTCTGGTACCATCATAACTTTTTTATCCCTTTTGCTGAGATTCTTTGTTTCTTACAAATTAGTAAGTGGGAGAAGAAGGATGAACTAAGTGCAGTTTCTTAGCATGAAGGGAAGATTCCTTTTTCCTGTTCCTGCTCTAAAAAAGATCAAAGCTTGTCATCAGTCTACCAGTGAGCACTTTACTACATCCTATTACTGTCTTAAGGTGCTCCTAGGGACAGAGGATGACCCTGATGGGGTCCTGATGCCCTGGTAGCTGGGCAGTAGCTGATCCTTGTTGGCAGCAGGTGACATGAACAGGTTGATCTTCGCTCGCTGGGCGTGTTCCTATAGAGCTGGATGGTTTAGTCAATGAAAAGCAACTGCCTTTCATTTTCTTTGTTGCATTGAAGTCATAGGAGGGTGGGGGGAAAAAAAAGGTTGAAGAAACACTTGAGGGGGAAGGTGTTGGGGGGAAGCTTTTTGGAACTCGATAGTGTGGAAAGGTTTATTTGGTCTCATTTCAATACAACTGATGTCACTTTATCAAGCTTACATTGTGAAGCCACTTCATTTTCTTTGAAAGCAGAAGTGTGTGCAGTAGGGCAGGAGCATGGGCAGTGTATGGACTGAGGTTAAGATTTTGGCCAGTGTCAGTATCTTGCTAAGCAAACTCAGGCAATCCCCTATTTTTTGTCTATAGCTGCTTGAAAAACTGATCTCAACAGCTGTGCTGTTTTGGGAAGAATATTTCGGGGAGAGAGGCAAGTTTATTGGTGGGTTAGAATTCTTTTTCAAGCCTGAGAGAAAAGTGGTTCAGAAAGAGCACTGAGAGTTGTCGTCTCTCTGTGCCAGGAGCAGCATTTAGGGAGGGCAAATGAAGAATGTAAAAAGAGTCTGGAGCTTCCCAGCTATCCTGAATTATCATCAGTACTCTTGCAAAAAAGGAGGGGGAGAGGAATATTATTCTGGTTATTATTGTGAGGCTCCCCAGTGCCATTTGCTGCGGTGGGGCTCCAGCAGGCAGGGCTTCAGGTATTACCTTGTAAGTGCAGAGGAGCTGGAGAAGGGGAAGTCATGAGCCCCGTCAGGAGTTTGGAGGGTGTGGGTTTGTTTACTCCAGCACTGACAAGCCTCAGGTAGGGTTTGAGGTTGTAGATAGCAGTCTGTTAATCAGTATAGGAAAGAGGAAGTCTGTTTACTTTTCAGTAGACACCTTTGGCTGGCAAGGGGAAGAAGCAGAGCTTCAGCTGGTGGCAGCAAAGCACAGTCAAAACCCTCCAGATTTTATTTCACTGGAGGCATTAGGAGCAACACTGGTGGCACCCAGGAGAGGGTGGCAGAGTACTGGTGTGGCACAGGGCTGGGATCTAGGGCCTCTCAGTCTGGCACTCCAGCAGCTCCTCAGGAAGTGCAGCTGTTGCTGCCAGGATGGACAACGGAGCATTAACTGTATCCTTGGGAAGCTTCGTGTGCAGGTGGGGGAGCCAGGGGGATGAGGAACAGGAACCTGAGCAGCAGGAAGCTCCAGCGTGGAGGTGGTAACCCTTCCTAGCCCACCCCTCAACAACAGACACTTGCATCCAGGACCTTGGCTTGTCCCATGTGCTGTCGCACCAAGACGAAATGGAAAATCTTGACAAGTTGTGATCATTGCTTTATTTTAGAAGTTGACAGAATTTTGATGTGAACTGAAGAGACTACATAGTTAAAAACTGAAGCTGCGACAAGCTGAAAGTAGAAAAATATACTGTATGTAGATACAAAGGCTTGTTAAACTACTTAACGTTATAAAATGTCCCAAAAGTTGTTTAAATAAACGCACACAGTGTCTTAACATGCATTCAATTCACCCTCTGAACTCCAGCTAAGCGGCAATTTCTGATGCAGAAAGCTTCCTATTCCTATTGGCAGAGGAGTCTGAGGAAATAAAACATCTCTCCGGCCTGCCCCTGGGTTTTGGGAACTTGGTTTACCTGAAGCAAGCCCTAACTGCAACAGAGCTTGAAGAAAAATGAAAGTATTAAGTTCAGCGTTCAGAAGGGAGGAAGTCGTCTGAATTCCCTTACGCACAGGACCTTTGATTTGGGGGTGCTAAATGAAATGTCACTGATGCGCCACTTCCCCTGTGCTGCCAAAATAACTTACAGAGCAGCACTGTTAGGTTCCTCTCTCTTCTCAGATTTAACTTCTTTCTTTTGCTTGAGTTACACTTCCATGATTTTTGCCTCACACCTGAACTTATGCAGTACCACAGTGGCCAGGTTGTGAAGACAATAGGAAAAAAAACCCCTCACACTACTGTTCCTTTTAAAAACCCCAAACACGTAATGCTTTTGAGTTCTATTGGAATCTATTTCCCAAAGCACTTGGAAGCTGAGGCAGAAGCAGCACTGCTGGCAGGAAGATCTCTCGGGCAACAGAAAAATACTTCTCTTTTTTTTTTCTTTTGGACCACTGAGACTTTTAGACCTTGTCTACATTTTTATTCCCTCTTAAGAGACTGCATATAGGGCATCAGTTCTTAATTTAATTTTAATAGGCTTCACTCCTGCTTTAGTCCTGTTGTGTCTTTTAGCTTAAAATGAATTGTTTTGTTTTTCTGGAAAGCATAACCAGGTTTTTGGCAGTGAAAAGTGCCATATTGATAATGTAATAATTAAAAACTGAATTTCTAATTTGAAATTCACTTAAGAGTGAAAACATTGAGGCAATGAAGAGTTGAGTGTGGTTGAGACAGGTTAAATATTTTAAAAAAAATAACTGTACTGTCCAGGTTTAAAAAGAGTAGCAGCCACATGCCACCAGTATGAATTCATTAATCCAGCTGGCAGATTATGACATTCATATGAATCCACTGTATGCAGATGTTGACATCAGGCTTTAAAAATAATCTAAGAAAGTTCTTCAAAGACACTGGTACAGTGCATTGCAATTGCAGAACAGTTATTTCCTGCAAGATCCCACCTCGTAGTGAGTTAAAGTGCCCATTTTCTCAGCAGG